CCGTCACGCCCTGAAAAAGAGTCACTGGTGACACACGGCACAGGAGACTGCCCGAGGCCTTCCCTTGGAAAGGCTAAGCCACCGCCGTCCGCCAGCAGAACACCAGCGCGGGCAGGCGGCTCCCTTTGCCTTCGGGAGTGACCCCTCACCTGGGCTGCTGTCAGGTCCTGGGACACCTCTGCCAGCAGCCGGTTCACCACTCCGCACGGCGGGCGGCTGTCACCTTCCCACAGGACGTGCTCCAGCTCGCAGTACGCCTGCGCTCGGTCACCCTGGGGACAGGGATAGGTCACGTTTTGCTTTGCCCTTGTTCCCGGGGAGCCGCCCGCTGCCACCCATTGCTATGCTGATGAGCTGCCGGGGCCTGGCACCCTTGGGACTGTGGCACTGGGCCAGGGCAAGGATTGATGGTTGGACATCCCCAGCTCACCTCCTGGTCTTGCAGGCGTTGCAGCAGTAAGGTTACGGCACAGACAGGGACAGGGCTTTCCACCCTGCCTCTCTCCCTGCGACGTGTACATCTGGGCATGCAGCCCACACAGGCGAAGAGACCTGGAAGGAAAGAGCAGAGCAGCTGCTACCGGTGTTGCTTGGAGCCAGGGCTGAGCATCCAGCCAGCTCTGGGAGGAATGCTCCTCCAGCTTCACAGTATGGGGTGGGCTGCAATGGCACATGTGTTGTTGGCAGGGAGAAAGAAGAGAGTCTTTCCCTTGCTGGGGTACTGGAGAAACCACGGTGCACTTAGCAGAGCAAGGCCAGTGCTGCTGGCATATCCTAAACAGACAGTAGAGGCACACATGTGCTCAGGCAGCATCACGGTGTCCAGAGAGGTGGAGGGACCTCACCTCGAAGGGCTCTCAGCCGCTTCATCACAGCAGGATGTCTCCAGATAGACACAAAGCTCTCTCTGGGTTCACTTCCTGCGCGTCCCACAAGCGGACTGAGCCACCGCTCCCACCGCTGCCACAGGGGTGAAAGCGACAACTGTGACATCACAGTAAGGAGTGCCACCTCACAAAGAATGACGTGTCCTGGGCTGGGAACTAGACTGCATGCAGGGCAACCTTGCAGGCCCCAAAACACACATGTTTTTGTGAGGAACTTGGCTCCAGGGTGGACACATTCCACACTGAAGCAGGGAGTCACCTCAGCAGATGAGGAAGTGCCCTGGCCAGGGAGCAGTTGCTGGGCGCCATTGCCCAGCATTGTCTTAGTGACTGGGGATTCCATGCCGGGAGGCACTGAGGCCCCCATCTGCTGCCCCAGCATCCTCTCCAGAGAGCTTTGCTGTCTTCCAGGGGCATGTGTCAGAGATGTTAAGAAGGTTAAAAAAAAATCAAAACTAAAAACAGTTAGGAAAGAAGTGTTTCCTGTAAGCAGACATTTCTGTTTAATTTGTATTTTTCAAAGAGAAGAAACGTTTTCCTTTTTTCTCCTCTGCTGAACCTTAAAAGTTCAAAGGAAGTGCTTGATTTGAATTCATCTACATTTATCATTCATGTTAGTACATCTTGACAAAGATATCTTCTTTCCATCTTCTGCAATCCATTTCAAAAGACAAGAGTACATTAAATTCCTATCAAAATAATTTCAAATGCCACAAAGTCATACAGTGTCTTAGCCACAGGGCTGCTGTTTGAAAGGAACATCTGGTTGTCACCCTGAACAACTCAGGCTCAGCACCATACCATCTCTGTCACAGCTGTGTCTAATTTGATCTAGAATACCCCAAAGGACCGAGATTGTATCATCTCTCTGGGAAGCCCATCCCAATGCCCTGTCACTAGTGACTGAACTTCACCTGACATTCAAGCTGAAGCTGGCCTACCTTGTGGCTGCTCATTTACAGTGTATCATCTTTGGCTTTGTTCCCTTTCAATAGACGTATGGAACTATTAAATTGCCCCCCCCCCCCTTAGCCTCTGTCACCAGACTGAAGAAGCCCTGTTCCCTCAACATCAAACAGGCCATGCATCCATCTTTCCAGATCATCTTCTGGGATTGGGTGCCTGAACTGGACTCAGTAAACTAGTTACAAATTCACTGGTACTTAAAAGGGAGTTAAATTTTCTTTGACTGAGGAGCCATTATTCTTAGAAGGTCGGCCATATCAGCTTTTCATTTGCTTATTCATTTGACTCATAATCAATCTAGTCCAACTTACCAAATATTTCCACAGTGAGATACAGAACAAGGGTGAGACTCTGAACTGCTTGCTAAGGCACAAGTTATAGTATCCTCTCCTGCAAATTATGATCAAATGTAACTTTATTTTTGCTTGTTCTTCAATGAAAAAAATTAATTTCTATGAAATGAGTCAATGGTTTCCACTAGCAATTCCCAGTGAAAATATTTCCATATTTTTTCCAAGTAGAATAGCTGTAAGCAGTTTCTCTGAAGAGATTAAAAACTAGCAAAAAACTGTCAATTCTTTGTTTCATCTTTCAACTGAATTTAATTAAATCTGATATTCACTAAAGAATGAAGAACACTTGTTAGACTGTCACACATACTGGAAATCTATAAAGAACTTCTATAACAACAACCAAGAGAATTCCCATCAAGGGAGATTAGCATGAAGATCTAATCTTCCTTAGATGATAGTAAAAGACCACATTACAAGAAAGAAAAATAAATGGAAGTTTGAAAGCTGGGAAGAATCCAAATCAATAGGGAGTAAAAAAAAAAAAAATAAGTATAGTTAAAACTGCAAAGCTGAAGCTCAGTTTTATGTTTTATTAAACATTCTGGTTCATACTGAAGTCACATCATGTGAACTACACATAAAATTTGAAGTAACAGAGTCATTAATCATAGATGAAAAGTTAGTGGCAATTTTAAAATATCTACCAGATATGATAATGAACTCTTGATTTCCTGAAACAGGCTTTTACTGTCCTAAGGCATTTCTCCAAGGAGCCTTCAGCTTAGTCAGCATCTTGGATGTAGCGGTTAAAGTTGATGGCTTATCCAGGTGCCAGGAAATCACCTCTTTCCTATCCCAAAAGACAGTGAACGTCACTTTACATTTTTAAGGTCACATCTTCAACTTTTTTTGAAAGGGAATTCACATGTTGGCTGCTCAGAGTGTGGCTTGTCTTTCATGTCATTGTTGGCACTGCTGAAACGCAGCACCCACTACCTCACTGTGTTCACATCCATGTTTAGTCTCCACAAACATTCAGCAAGCATCGATGAATGTCAATGTTATTTTTTCCACATGGATGAATTCAAATCCATACATTTGCTTCATGGGAACTTCCATGTCAGACATCATTGTGTCAGACTGCCCCCCTGCTGTGTCCTGTCACATGGCAATAAAATATAACAGAGTACTGGTAGTACTGGTAGTACTGGTTCAAAATCTACTGCCATACCACCAATGTCCATCTTTGATGTAGTGGGCAAGTAAAATTAGAGGCTTTGCTTTCACGATAGCTCTCGTATATGCAATATTTCCTTCATCTATTTCTGTTTTATTTTCCAGAACTGACTTAACATAACCCAAATCTGCCGAAGACTCACAGACTTAAAAAAAAAAAAAAAAAATTAATGTGGATAACTAAGGAAGATACAAAATAGAAAAATAATTTCCCAGGGACTTAGCCGTGTACTGCTGTCCTGGAGTAGCCCAAATTGTAATTCACAGCTCAGTAACAAATATAGTAGAAACAAGATGAAAAAGAGAAACACCATGCCATCTGAAATAATTTTAAAAATCAAAATGACTTCTCTTTAATTAATTCTTCTCTGTTAGTATTGCAGCAGGACAATTATTAATCTGTAACACACACATTATTATTCAATATAATAGTAAAAGATTACTGAGAGGATTTTGCCCAGTATTGATGAAGAATTAGACACCTTGAATTTTCATAATGAATTAGTTTTGCTCAGATAAAATATTTTTTCTAGTTTGGAATAACAAACATAAATTATCTGCCCAGAGTAGTAGTCATCTACCAAGAAAACTTACTTTAGGTAACACCTCCACACTTGCTTCTATGTAGTTTAATCTTTATTCGTACGTCAAATCTGCTCCAGCTCTTTATCCTTCCCTCTCCTCTCCTCTCCTCTCCTCTCCTCTCCTCCCCTCCCCTCCCCTTCCCTCTCATCTTTTCTTTTCTTTTTTTTTTTTTTTTGCATTTCTATCGATATTGCTTCCAGAGATAATACAGTACATGATATTTCTGTCTTCTATACTCAGTCTTGCTCTTAATTTTGACTTTGAAACAAGCTTGATCTGAATTCTTGGTTTCTCTGTACATAAGCAACATGTTTTCTTGTCTATTTTCTCCTTTGTATATCATGCTTGTGATTAGATTTGTATGTAGTATGCAATACACCATGGTTTGCTATTACACTGATGTTTTTATCTTATTAGAAAATGTTTGGGATTCAAATACTGAAAACAATAATTAAAAGCCCAAGAAAAACAAGCACTGTGAAAGGCATCTGTAAAAATAGATAAAAGTAAATTAAAAATAGGATGTATTTAATTTACTGGGGTCATTTGAACAATGGAGAAAATTAGCCCTTATGTAGAATATGGATGGCATCTGTTTATCACACTCAACATTCAAATAACACAGTATTATGGGGAGTTCTTTCCTAACTAGTTTTGAGATGATCCCAATAGACTAACTTAAGCTAAACACATTACAGCAAGCCAATACTATGTACGTCTTACCTGCCAAAAATTTTGAAACACCTTCCTCGTTTTTATTTGAATAATTAAAACATACCAACATCCTCTACAACTGGCAGACTTTCCACATTACTTGGTGCCAACAGGCTTTCTGTTGATTTCTTCTTTTATAAGTATATTTGGATTTCGAGTCTGAGCTCAAGTCTGACAGATTAGCGTGATCTACAGTCAGTAAAAACATCTGCTTTATCAAAACCCAACAATTCTAGGATATATTTCCAGTAGAATAAAAGCATTGATGAGGACAGAGTACCATGTTCAGTTTTATTCACCCATGCCCAAAAAAAATCTCATGTTGAAAACACTGCTTGTAGAACTCAAAGAATGTGTAAGAGGAGACTGAAAAAAAAATGAACTGTGCAGTATGGAAAAAATTAAACAAGTAGGAACATTTTTACTATCTATCAATATATCAGATGGAGTACCTGAACACCAGGAAAAAAAAGGAGGGCTGATTAAGATGAAAAACAATACTGAGATGAGAACCTACAAGTGTAACTTGATATGAATTAATTGTCTGTGCTTCTAGTTCAGCTGGAATCCTGCACTGGTAAGACCTTCTCTGAAGTAAGCTATGCACAGGACCTGTCCTTTCTTCCCTTAGAAGCTGCTTGAAATCTGAAACCTTCATGCTTGGCCTCTTGCTTCAGCTGTGTGCATCCTGTCCTATGCCTCATCACTGCGCAAACATCCGTGCAGATCCTTCCAATTGGAATAATCAGGAAAGAAGGAAGTATTTTCATGATGAAATAAAACGTATGCAAACCATATGATGGTGAAGACCATGACCAGTGACTGCTAACTGATTCTCAAGAAATGCACAGGGACCAAAGAGAACCATGGGTTTCAGGAGAGACTGCTGCAATAACAGGTGGCTCAGTATGCCCAGGGAACATTTTCTAGAAGCCGTAAAATAATTCATAAATTTAGAATATTCATTTCTTATGAATGTATATGCCTTGAACAGAAGAGAGATAATTAATACCATGAGGATACAATCTCCATCTATCACCCATTTCCTGACCCCAATTATCAAAAATAAGCAGTCCAAAACATTGCAGAAAACAAACATTAGACAGTGAATAGAGTGAACAGCAGAGACTGATCATCTACCATCCTATAGCTCCCAAACTTCTCTATAATTTTCCTACTGTCTGTGAACCTTTGTAATAAGCTTCCAGCAGTTTGGGGAAATATGTATTTAGCTATCTGTCTCTAGTATTCATCACTGGAAATGGCATAGAATCTTTGTCTACCACAACAGTAAGCAAACACTGATATTATGTCTGAAGAAAGTATACTCTTTTCACTAGAAGTGAATATAGTCATTGCTAAGATCAAATAGCCCCAAGACTCTTGCTTTCATTTTCTCTGTCTTTTGCACTTCAGTAATGATATAGTTCCAACCTGATAATATGTTCACATAGTCTTTGCACCACATCCTAATGATTTTTCCTAATCTTGTGCTGTGGTATCTGTTGATAGTTTCTCTATCCAAGTCATAACAATACTTGAAGCTGAT